GAAATAAAATAGGAGAACAAAACACTTAAGATTAAAATTTTTAAACTTTTTAAGGTTAGAACTTTAAAATTCTAAAATAAAATTTAAATCTAAATTAAATAATATAAACTTTATAATTCACTCACATAAAATTAATCAATTACCGCTAAACTAGTTATTGGAAATTATATATACACTGTTGGAAAATTAAATTTAACATATATCGCATGTTTCAAATGGTCTACATAAATTTTTATGTTAATTTATTAATTTAACATAATATGGATATGTTAAATGATGACACTAATACTATGTTAATAGTGTATTTCCGCGCATAAAATGAATGCAAACTTCATAATAATTTGAAATAAATTTTGTGTAAAATCTAAATATTTTTAATAATAAAATTAAATTGGAAAAATATTGATGGTCTGTATTAATCACTCTCACTTTTACTATAGAATAAAATCAATATTTTTTTCTGTAAATTTTTACAGATAAATCCTGTCGCTAATAATATCTATTGTGTAAAATTAAAAATATGTGCACATTGTGTTATTTTTACACTTTTTTCACTTGTTTTAATAATTTAACATTTGAGTTCAATCAACACAAGAACAATATGTTAAATTAACACATGAATGTGTTAAATATTTAACACAAAAATTTTAACCGGCATATTTTTTAACATGAAAACAAATTTTCCACAACAGTGTATATATATAATATTTAAAAAATTCGAAATGCGCTTACCGAGTTGGCTGTATTAATATCTAAATCGGTATCGAGAAATTCGACGACTCTCTCAAGGTTGCCGGATCGGGCAGCGCGAAGAAATGCTGTTGTGTCATCAGCCTAAATGCAAACATTTTATTCTTTAACAAACGTCTGTGGAGGCAAAGCACACGCAATTACGGCTCTGTGGGAAATACAATATGGAAAACAGAGCTGCGATATAAAGATAACAAAAAAGAATTAAAGGTGCGTGATATTATTTATATAGATGTGATATATAAGAGTAACCTAGTTTGCAACGATGATACAACTCTGTCCTTTCTCCTTTACCCTCGCGCACTTCAACACTTGGTGTTTATCACGTTATTATATTTATTATTAATCAACGTTATACACGGTACACTTGTTCTCTGAAGCAATTATTTTACAAGTAAAATATATAAAAAAAAAAATTATGCGTGTTATAAATATTTATATCCTCAAAAATTTATTTTTTTATTTTTTTTATGTATTTTTCTTATCGGAAAGCGAAGAATGAGTTGAATTGCGATTAAGATTGCCCGAAGTTATTGGCTTGTGATTCTCTTAGCAAACTTGACTTGTTTTCGCAAGAAAGTAGAGTACCTCGGTCCTCCCTGTCTGCACCCCTTTGCGATTCATCGGCAGCGATCGTGATAAAAAGACCACTATAGGGTGGTTTGACTCGCGACTATTGGTGCTACAACTCCGTCATCGTGACCTTTAGCCGGTCGCTACTGCCGGTTTTCGCATCGGAAATCAAAAATCATTCTCGATTTTTTACCGTCGACTTTCTCCGACATCGATATGCGCCGCATTCGCCGGCTGTGCCGCCTAAACACCCCAACCCTCCCCTCTCTCCTCAACCATCTGGTGCATTTCACCCTGGTAGTTCATAGCTCGATTGTCTGTATCCTACCGCGCCGATTGGGATAGATTATAATTTTCGTGAGGATTGAAATTCTCTGTACGATTTCTTAGGGGAGGTGGTCACCTCTACGATGATAGAAACATATAACGCAATTGTCGCGGGATATATTTAACCACCCACGCACACCGGAAATCATACCCGCCACCTTCGACGTGATCATCATCGCTCGCTCGTAAATCATCGCGAATCTCGCGATTGATTTTAGAGCTCGAAATATATCTTCGTCTCCTTCGATCGGTCATTTCGGAGAGAGGGCGAGTAAGAGGGTGCGAGAAGCACGAAGGGAAAAGAGAGAGAGACAAAAGGAGGGAGAGAGAAAGAGAGAGAGACAGAGAGAAGTTGAGAATGCCGGCTTCGAATTCGCCTCCACTCGAGATCATTACCTGACTCGTGCTGTCGGTGACCATCGTGATCGACGGCTGTGGTTCCCACGAGGAAAACGGCCTCTCCGAGAACTGACACCCGGGACCCGCGACGACACACGAGACCCTCCCTTAAAGACGCGCGGCCACGCGCGTCACACCACCATTTGTGTGTGCACACCGCGTTCGCCGGGGGTGCGCACGGACGTGTTAAGGCCAGGACACGTAGAGAAAGGGAGAGAGAGAGAGAGAGAGAGAGAAAGAGTCGCGGAGCCGCCCTGCACGAACACGCGAACCGCGCAGAATCGAGCGACAACGATCTCGCATATGTGTGTAGTAGAGGATGTACACACCACGCCACTCGGGGCTGTACAGCCTTGTATATATCAGGAAGAGGGATGGGGGAGGAGGGGGTGGTTGCCGGTTTCTCTCGCACCCTCACCCTCATTTCCCGTTGTCCCCCCCCCCNCTTCCCTACTACGTTGCACTGCCGCCACCGCTTTTTCAGCAGTAAAAATCTTTTTTTTTTTGCTTTACACCCTTTTGCTTACTTTTTTGGAACCTTGGCGGACCGGAACCTTGCGAATTGTCAATATAAGATGCATATATTGCGTTCGATAGATGCATAATATATTCTGAAAATATACCGCATTGAAATATAATTGATAAATGATGAAAAAATAAAGTACGCAATGTAGAATGTACAAGATTTTCAGACTCCCTCTCTCCTATTCTTTTGACAGATCATTTATGTAATATTAATGTAATAGTATTATCAACAGATTTCTCTTTCTTGCGGATTCGAAATTGATCTTGTTCGATAAGGATTTTATTTATCTAATCCATTTTGAACAGAAAAGAAAGCCACTAGTACAGACAGTTAATAAGAATAAACATCATATTTTGATATAAATCAGATGGAAAAGATGAATATTGTGATGAATATACATATATATGAAAAGATTGAATATTTATTACAACTTTTATACGTAAAAGATACTAAAAACTGTGGCCACTAATTTAATAAAAAATTTCTTTAGAATTAAAAATATATTCTCGAAGATGTCGAATTGACATGAAAGTATGTCAATAAAGGGGAGCATTGAAAAAGAAATTTTTATCTTGAGATAGATAAGTTCGTGTACTTTACAAAATAAACCTTAGCCTTAATAGAAATCGGAAGGGTGAAATTTGCGAACATTCCTCGATGTATCTCCTTCTTCGGGGATTCCGTATCGCGAAAGATAAGCCTATCTGTTCATCCCTCGGTCACCCCCCTCTCTCTCTCTCTCTATCTCTCTCTCTCTCTCTCTCTCTCTCTCTCTCTCTCTCGTTGCACCAAGCTCTCTCCCTCTCTCGTTGCACCAAGCTCTCTCCCTCTGATCTCGCGTACGGGACGGTTTATAGAGGCGTTATAAAGGCGCGGTGAATGTTTGCCCTAAGATCGCCGCCGTCGGGGTTGGATTACCGACGGGATAGGTGGAGAACATCCCTTACGAGAGAGAGAAATTACATGTCCAACGCGCCTGCTCGCCCGCGCATAAAACACGAGGAGGTTGTGGGCGACGTGCATTTCTCGCTCTCGAGCCGCCACGTGCAAACAATGTCTATGCCTGAAGCTATCCTCCTTTCGACCAGCAAATGTAAAGACCTCGGGCTGACCGCAGAAATTTGCTTCTGACAAATATCTTTTCGAGCCATGCAAGATCGACACAGATATAGATAGGGCGAAAAAATGTGTATGAACCATTTTAAAAAAAAATTGCAAAACTGAGGAGCCTTATATATATTTGACATGAAATAAAAATGAGGCTAAGAGCTATGATAATGATTTCGAGATAATTGATAATTGATAGATAATAGAATAATTATAATTCAAGATAATTAAGATTTTTTTATTTATATCTTGGATGTAGTATGTATTAGTTCCCTTTTGGATATCAACTTTATTCTTGTACATTTTGTTTTCCCTTCAGATCTTTAAATCTGAATCAATATTGATCTCATATCGAATACTGAGATTTATTTAGAAAAGATTTATTGATCATAAACTCTCTAAAAATTTCATGAGAGGAAGAGAGGGAGAGAGAGAGAGAGAGAGAGAGAGAGAGAGAGAGAGGGGGAGAGAGAGAGAGAGATTAATATTTAAAAAGCTCTAATTCAATTTCAAAAATAAATTCGAAGACAGTTTACTCCACTAATAATAAACTCTTAACTCTTAATTCAAAATTAGCGATACATTAAATGTAATTAATTATTTTACGTCCAATATTATAGAAATAATTTTAGAGCCAGTATATAATGTTATAAAAATGACACATTTCTTAATGGAACAATTATAATTCGAGATAATCGAGATTTTTTTATTTATATCTTGGATGCAGTGTGTAATTTCCTTTTGATTATCAACTTTATTCTTGAATATTTAGTTCTCTTGTCTTCTTTTCAAATCTTCAGATCTATATCAATATTGGTCCAATATCGTATTCTGATATTTATTTAAAAAAGATCTATTGATCATAAATTCTCTAAAAATTTCATGAAAGAGAGAGAGAGATTAATATCGCGAAAACTGGTAATTCTCTAATTCAATTTTAGAGATAAATTTGAAGACAGATTTACTCCACTAATATAAACTTAAACTCTTATTTATTTTAACTCAAAAATAGCGATGCATTAAATCTAATTAATTATCACGTATAATATTATAGAAATAATTTAAGAACTAGTATATATAATATTATATAAAAATGACACCATTTTGCGCTCCGTGCGTTAAGTATATATATGGATCGGCGCGGATCTCGACCAATCGATCGGTTGTGCCGATTAATGCGAGACGACGATTGTATCATGTCGCGATATGTTCCGCTGATTATATTTACGCAAACATTAATTACGCGACGAATTTAAAAAAAAATAATCGCAGTATCTCGATTTTCTTGGCGAACGACGGGTCAATATCCTAAATCGCATCTCAAGAAAAATAAACATGACGATCAATAAAATCTTTATACACAACCCGTGGCGGCAAGAACGGTATTATATCTATGTATGCGTGTCACTACATCCCTCGATCCAACCTTGCACTCACGTGACTTCATCCAAGGTCGCGACCCCTTCGCGAGACTTTAGCGCGCGGAGCTGCTTTCATCGTACCCTTAATTCTCTTCGCGCATCAATCGACTGTGAGATTTTACAGATACGTGTACTAGAACCTGAACTATCTCTTGCGTTCAGTAATTTATCATCAATATGCAACGCTTAATCGAGTTACTATATTAGACGAGATTAAAATGATTAAAATGATTTCCAAATTAATAATATGGTAAATTTCTATATTAGCGTCGCCACCTCCGATTTGCCTCAAAATTTACATATAGCTTTCTTTAGGTCTACAATTAACAATTATGATATTTTAAAGTCGGGCAAACAAAATGTCGTCCTTCGGGAAAATCATCAAGCGGTATTTTATAATAAAAAACTGAAAAAGTCCACACAACAATTATGGGGTGAACCTCGTTCTGTATTGTACAATACATGCGTGGATGCAGTGAGTTCCGCCACCCCCCCTACGGGGAGGCTCCACTTCCGGAAGGTATAACCTAACCCAAACCTATTTCTGATTTAAAACTAAAATTTGGGTTTGGGTTAGGTTATATCTTCCGGAAGTGGAGCCCCCCCGTAGGGGGGGCGGAACCCACTTCGTCCACGCATATATTTTACAACGTAAAGCGAGGTGAGATCGGCGCTAATATCAAGGTTTACCAAGTTCAGATTAAATGTATATGGCGTCAGAAAATTACATTCTAATATAATGTCTAAATGCACAGAATATGTCTTATCAAAAATGTCGAAAAATCAAAATATTCCTAAACACGAATAGCGCTTCAAGCGACCACTTGATAATTTCCTTCAAGGACAACATATTGTTTGTCCGGTTTTAAAATATCATAACTGTTAATTGTAGACCTAAAAAAAGCTTTATGTAAATTTTGAGGCAAATCGGAGGTGGCGACGCTAATATAGAAATTTACCAATAATACAATAATTGTCACATACATACTGTTTGTGTACGCATAATAAAAAATGTATTGTTTATAACATAATATTAATTTTATCGTGACACGTTGCACTGGTTGATTAAAAATTATTGTTGATAATGAATAAAGATATCTCTAAATTTTTTGTCGGATATCATAAGAAATAATAAACGTTGAAATAAGAATAATGACAATCTGGCGAAATATAAATAGAAAATGTCGATAAACATTATTATTCGACAATTATTTTATCAAGGAAATAACGTTTCCGAATTCTGTAACCGATTTTTCTAAAAATAATACCGAGCTATCGCTCATTGGATCGTATCCAATAATCACTGCAAGCGTTTGCGAGGAGAGATATATCAGCTGATTCGATATTGAATATATTTATTAATATTTGTGTGTGTATTAATACATAAATTAATTATGCCAGAATGGCTGATGCTGCTATAATGATACTGCAGTCTTGAACTGTATTTATTCAAATATATCATTGGAAGAATGGTATCAATTAACGATTCAACTGTTTATTAATGTCAACATCATAATATCCAGAAATCTTCTTTCTCTACCGAGAATTGTGTGAAACGCTCGATTTTGAGATCTCTGCAAAGAATGGTAGGGGAATAGAAGGAAATTCGATATAAGAGTCCGTCTCACATTCTGGGAGAACGACCCGAATATCAGGAAGACACGCGTTTTTTTTTACCTGGAGCCTAATGATCGGCGGGAATGCGTCCTCTTCCGTCATTACTAAATAATAAACTGTGTCTGTATAGTCTCTTTGACAAGCTCTACACGCACGGTCTGTAAGAACCATGCTGAAGACGTAGACCGGGGGATATTAATAGAAAGTTCTATGTTATTTTTGTTAAACTCCTATATGTAGTGCCTTTGTTAACAATCTCGCTAAATTTTATGTTAAAATTCGATGTTAATATTACGAACGTAATTTTTATTTTAGCATATCAAAAGATACCTTTTTTTGAACCATATACATATATGTATATATAATTTGATTATTATTTAATGTAAAATTAATAATTTAATAATTATATCATCGATTCGATAATTTTGTCTGATTTATTACGATCGGCTGGAATTGCTGGAATTTTGATACAAGGCGTTGTAACGAAAAA